TTTCATGCTCTAGGCTACTACGTGTTTAGTACTACTCCGTTTATGACCTCGTGTGTGGCTATTTTATCCTCTAATTATAAGACCTCATTGACATATATACATCGTTCTAACATGCACGGTCTTGCTCGATGCAATCGTGAGATACTGTAAATGCCGTACGATCGTGCCACTGAGGTTTGTACGGGGAATTGCAACTTGACAAACATTCATCGATCATCTGCTGCGCCACTGGCAACGTATAGATCTTGGGAGCTCACAGTTTCAAGGCGCTATAGCCAAGTGGTTACGGCGACAGATTAGAAATCTGTTCCTCTTTGAGGGCGCAGGTTCAAATCCTGCTGGCGTCGTCCTTTCCTTTTTAAAGTTTTACCCTTGCTCCCTTGCACCACGAGGTCGTCCCCTCCTTCGTGATCACCGATCATCATGATCAGCCGCTCGCAAGCTTATATCATGTCCAGGCACCTTTTCCTTCGCGCCCACTGCCAAACGTCACACAGTGTTGTTGATCCTACCGTATAGCTAGGATCTGCCGTTCAATGCATCGACAGCAACCCACGATAATGGTACTCCACTTGCCCATCAACTTGACATTTAAGCTTTCAAACGTAAACCACCGATCTCAAGGTATCAGATATCGCGCCGCCACCTGATCGCTTGAGATTATGAGTATGTTCGTGATCCCCAACCCAGGCTCGACGTGTAAACAACAGAAGCGTTAATAAGATGTATATGTGCTTGTAAGCTTTTAATATCATAGTCACTCGTCAAGCAGTCAGGAAATCACAAAAACAAGTCAGAAAAAAAGCAGGGGGAGGTAGCCAGTTCAAGAAAATCTGAGTAAGGCGATTCAGTAGATAAACCACCGACTATGCCTGACTGCGAATTAGACGGCCCGCACGGGCGAGCAGTACGTATACCTGGGGGATGGGGGATGGGATGAATTGCATGGATGTACGTTTATATACGGAATGTATGATGTGATGAGGTGTATGGTGTATAAGTAAGAGGCCGACGCAAACCACGCCCGGATCTTACTTAAGGGCTAAAGGGCCAGACGGTAGTAGGGCAGTAGATCGGGACGATCACTGGGTCTTGCACTCCTCGGGGTTGGCGTTGCCAGCGGGGGCTCCGGAGCGACCTTTTGGTGGCGCACGGCGGCGGGCGGGGACGTCGGCATCCGAGTCGGAGTCCTGGTGACGATGGTTGGTACTCAGAAGGATTGTGGATACCAAAGACTTACGTCATCAAAAGCACCACCGCTCTCGTCATCGTCCTCGTCGTCCTCATCAAAGTCATCCTCGTCTTCGTCCATCATCTCGTACTTGAGGGCGTTGCCGGTGAAGTAGTCGACGGCACGGGGAATGATCTGGTTGGATTTGTTAGATGGTAATGCAATTCGGTTGAGATACATACCTTTTCTTTGAGATCCTCGCCGATCTGGTAATCGACCTCGAGCTTCTCCTCGATCTCGTCGAGCTCCTCCTCTTCGATATCACCGTTCTCAAGAGCGTCCTCCGCAGGGGGCACAGGCGGGGTGAAGAAGTTGAAGAAGGATTCTGTGGGGTGAGCCTTGCGCACGAGACGCGTACGATTTGTGTCTACATGCCGTTTAGTCTCACAGTCTAAGAAAAAAAGGGTCAAGCTCACTCTTGTTGCGCTGCTTCTTGATCTCAAACTCCTTAGTGAGATCCTTATCCTCCTTCCACTTGATCTCGGTGCCGATGGCGCGATCGTACACGAAATCGCCCGAGTAGCCGACCTCCTCCTGGTAGACATAGGTTTTTTCGAGAGTGATGTTTTCGAAATACTCGTTCTCGCTGAAAGAGAAGAGGAGCTTGAAGCCGGGCTTGCCATCGGCAGCAGCGTCGTCGAGGTAGGCAATACGAATGTCGATTAGGTGCTTGAGGGCACCAACATCGCGCTCGGTGATGAGTTCGGCGATGCCAGGGTGGTTACGGAGGGCGGTGAGCCAGAACTCGGGGATGCCGCTCGCACTGGGCTTGGTGCCCTTGGGGAGGTGGGTGTACTCGTCGTCGTCCTTGATGGAGTACTCCTCGCCGGCATCGATCTCAGCCTGCGTAGGTGCGCTCTGACCGGCGATTATGGCATTGCGACGCTCGTACAAAGGCGTTTGGAGTGCCAAATACTAGAAATTTATCAATATAAAGCGAACTAGTCTCCATGCCTTGACTTACCTTCTTCTCAAGCTCAAGACATTCGCGTTTGTACTGGTTTTGAAGCTCGTTTTGCTTGACCTGCACACCTTTGAGCGCCTCAACGCTCAGCTTTACCTCGATCGGTAGAGCCTCGATGTACCCAGAGCTCCTACCAACGAGCCCCGCGAGCTTGCCTTGGACCATCCCAAGCATCTGCTGCTGGAACCCGCTCAAGTCTGGTTGGTCCTCAGAGTCATCCTGCTCATTATCTTCGTTGATGTCTGGTACCGTCGGCCGCGACAAGCCCAAAGCAATTGGGGCCTGATTCAGAGGCGTATTTTGTGGCGTCGGCGCCGTGATGTTGTTAGACGAGATGGGGACGGTCGACGACATTTGGAACGATGAGGAGAGTAGAAGACGATCAATAGATAAAAAATCAGCAATATGCGGAGTTTCGGCGACTTCCGAACGGACCGTACATACCCCAATGACTTCAAAAGTTTTGCAAATTCGCGGTCAAGTCGCCTTTACAAAGGACATAGCTCTAAGCCCGAGTCGGAGGAAGCGGATTTCACCAATGTCAGAAGTGAGGAAAGTCTCCGTCATCATATGACATAGTAAAACGAACAGCCTGGGATGTTGATCAGCAACGAGGCAAAAATGAGGCGCGCGTTTCGAACGCACTTCGGTGATACAATACAATTTTTTTTTCACTTACCTATTTGTAAATTACACAATACGTGAGCCCTTTTTTTGTCAATTTTCTCAGGTACTTGATTGCCGCGGGTATTTGCGTCATCCAGTCTTCCCCAGCGCAAAATTGGCGCAAGCCCGTTATTTTTGGATACATTAATACGTCGTACTGCTACGACTGTCATTCTTGTGACAATTGCGCTTGGGCCTGCGCCACATTAATTAGAGCTAAATGGAGCTTCTACTTCCATGTCAGTCAATTGTCAGTGACGCATTGTTGCCTTGGCATTTTTATCACATCTCCCATGGCCCGATGTTCAACTAGGGTAATATACCTACGATCACACTGACCATGATATACAATAGCATGCCCTTTTACATAGATCCTATAACATTCATTTCCATTTGAGCACGAAGATGCTGTTCCTTAGATTCTCTATAAAGTTTCTCCACTGTCCAGCCGTCTCCACGCGCAGGGTCAGGGTACACCAGAAATCCATCAGTCTCAAAGGCCATATATCATACAGTAGGCACATGCCTACCATCGTCTCGAAGATGGCTGATAATGTTATCCCATTTCGCGAGCGCCTTACCCTCAGTCGGGAAGAACCGCTCCTACCACCCCGTACCCCTTATCCGCCGATGAGAACTGCCTATCCTTGATACCAGAAGATCTTAAATGGTGCGCACTGGGGCGAATTACGCCTTTGCGGAAGCCTGACTAGAGTTGCGCCTCGACTCCTCGATTTGCCAACGGACATGCCACCCAACCAGCTCGTGACCGTGCTGCCGAAACGAAGTCCACCTCATCATGAGCCAAACGAGGGAGAAAGTTCAACTGTGGTAGCACTCACGCGCTCGACGATAGTCGCCATGACCTGCCTGTCACGCAGGTACGCCTGGAGCGCATGGCTGTCCGAGTCCTGGCTGAGCGCACGGCACCTTTCCATCACATGCTCCAATTCCGCCTTCAAGTACCGATTATTCTTGCGATTGCGCAGAGAACTCATTTCGTGGCCCGCTTGATGGCGCAATGCGCATGAGAACAGGAGCGGTGGGGATGGCATAATTGTTACTCACGAAAGAGATACTGGTCGCCGCACGGAACAAGACTGTAGCAATCGAGCTCGGCCTGGCTGAATGCACAGCCCTTATCTTTCAAGTCGATGTGATGGCCTCTCGCGATGCTAATGCCCGTCGTCAGAAGGCGTGATCAATTCAATTGTCATGACAGTACGCTTACTACTTCGTTTCGCAATCGGTGCAAAACCTCATATGTAGAGAAAATCTGGTCCTAGAGGCATCGGTACTGTTACACGCCTGATGTCGCACGAAACTCCGAGTCAGCGTTAACGAGCGAACGCCAAGGGCCAAATGCAATTCACTCACACAACAGAACGTATCGAAGACGAGACTTGCGTATTGTGGTTCATTCATATAAGGCGGACATGCTGGCATGGCCTTAATATTCCGCAAGCAATAGATCCAGACAAGTTGGGAGCTCCGCGACAGAAAAATAGACCGATAGAACTTTGAGACCCTTGAAAGTGCTAGCATGTCCTTGGGTTCTAGGAGTTTACCGATCTGTATTTCCAGCATCAGTGCCGGTGGAAAGTACGTGGCGAAGAAAGGTACGATACCTCTAGGAAAATGTCGATAGGGATATCTCCCAAACCAAGTTTAGGTTTTTGGAGGGGGTCCTGAGCAGGTGGGGTCAGGTTTAGTGCGTGTCTTCCGGAATTTGGTAGATAAGGGTCCTTGAAACGGTTGACTGCATCATATATAAGCAGATTAAATCCAGGAGTCCAATCTCAATCGTGCTGCGTACCAAGCATCTCTTCTACATTTTTGGATGGGACATTTGCAGCAACTATAAGTTCCTTCTCTGACTTGAAGGATAGGGCCATTTTTTTTCAGGAAAAGAAGAGATCAATGGTTGACGTTGTGGTTGCAGTTAGAGGTTTTCTTGTGTAAAAGTCTGTCACGGTGACGACTAATGTATCGCACGTGATGTGACGGAGCGCGCTGCATTGCTCCCTACTGGCAGTGGCACTGGTTAACAAGCTTTAGCAAGGATGGTCCACCTCCAGGCTAGAAAAAATAGAGAAGTCGGAATTAAATTGTTGAGGGGAGCAGATAGATGAAAAAAAATTCGGGTACGGGGAATCGAACCCCGAGCTGCCGCGCACTAAGATATGAGAGGCGGCAATGTTAGCCGTTACACCATACCCGATGATGAAAGGAATCAAATTGCAGAGTCCATCAGGGTTGCTTCTATCTACCCACAAAAAAAACAATTAAACTCCAATAGCAATAGGTATCATAAAAGTACAATCGTTATCGTTTCAATATTTAATCTCCTGGCCCAACTTTCTCAGTACCGACCTAAGCCGTAGCGGGGATGGGAACCTCGGCCTGAGGGGTGAGCCTGACCGCGTGCCTGCGGAAGACCTTATCGAAGTCGCCAGTGGCAGAGTGAGCAGTGAGGCGGTTGTCCTAAATTTGAAAATGTCAGTCAGTGTTGTTCTCGTGGAAACAGCATTCAAATCGAGGTAACTCACCCAAACGACGACGGTGCCAGGCTCATAGGTAGCCCTGATCTGGAAGTCGGCGCCCTTGGAGATATGGTCGAAGAGGAACTTGAGGAGATATTCCGATTCCTCCGTCTTGAACCCGACGATGCGCTTGGTGAAGCCCTGGTTGACGTAGAGGGCTTTCTCGCCGGTAGCAGGGTGGACGCGGACGACAGGGTGCTAAGCGATGTCAAAAGATTAATACGCTGCACTAAAAGAGAAGCAGGCGAAACGCACCTCGGTCTCGACGGGCTCGCGGCGGACGGGGCCACCACGCTGGCGGGAGTGCTCGGCCTGGGGCACTGCGGTGTGGACAGCACGAAGTCCCTCGAGGCGCTTCTTGAACTCGGGGGAGAGACGCCTATAAGCTTCGACTTGAGAGAGGAAGAGCGTATCTCCTCCAGACTCGGGCTAGAGAGCATGTTTGTGAGAAGTATGACACGAATGCCATGAAAGAAACCAACCTGATCAAGGATGAAGAAGAACGTGGTGCCCGGAGTCTGTTTCTCGTACGACTGGAGAGCGGATGAGTAACAGCCTATAAACCTGAAGATGGAGGTGCTTACGACGTCCGAGTGCCAGCTAGTGAGGTTAATCCTATCATCCCCAAAGTACTCCCTCAAAGCATCGTTCTTAGCGTCACGATAGACGACATGGAACTCGGGGTATCCCTTGACGTTACCCGAAGTGGGGTGGCGCTGGATAGGCCCAAAGTGTCTTGCAATCTCAATCTGGCGGTCAGGCTCGAGGTCCTTGAAGTCCTGGTCGCGGAAGAGCAGGACCTTGCGCTCAGCAGCGTAGAGTGCGAGCTCGTCCAGTCCCTCCTTGGTGAGCTGGGAGATCTGGACACCGGTGACTTCGGTACCAAGGTATGGGCTGACGTCACGCGTCTTTGCGTTGGCGAGGAGGTTGGGCTTGGCGGGGTTGGCGCGTGCACCGGGTTCCTCGTATTCTACAGTGCAATCATAAGGTGATGTTTGGGCATTTTGAGCTCCGTGGGAACGTACCGAAGATCTCAGTGGGAGCGAACTTCTCGGCGGGGTCGCTGTGGGGAAGATAGAAGGGATAAGATGCTTTCTATGTTCGCCAAGCGAGTTAGGGAATGTTCGTTGGTCGGTGTAGGTAGTGCTTACATCCTCTGCGTCTTGGTTAAGCTGAATAGTGCCAACAGCTTTGGCAAGAGTCTCGACAGGAGCGGTGGTAGTTTGAGTAAGTGAGGCCATCGGTAAATGAGAAGGTGGTAGTGATGAGTTTGAGTCCTCAACCAGAAGCCGTTATATACCTCGTCACATCCCGACTCTCTTGGCAACAAGTATACCAAATGACCGCAGGAGCATGCAATACCGAAGCAAGACGACGCCTTCTCTGCTTGAATGTGCCAAAATCATTATCATTCCTCAGCCAACCAGTCAGATGACGAGTGTTTGTGAAGGGTATTTTAGCGCGCGGGGTCGGCATGGCGAGCTCGGTAAACGTGATGGCGCAAGTTCAATGACATATTTGGTAGTCTCCTTTCGTCCGAATCATTTCCCGGAAGGCCAACCGAGTGATACGTGTTCTGGCTTATGCATCTGCATATACAAGTCAGAGCCACTAGTAGAAAGGGGGGTAAGAAGACGAAATACAACGAAAAAGTGATGAATATTACTCGAAAGGTGACGCGATTCTGTGATAGTTCTGTCCTTCTTGAAATCGCTACGGTGCGTCCGAAAGAACCGATGATTACCACAATGGCCCATGGTTTGGACGGATGTGATTGTGGCTTGTTACCCAGACACGTAGTTTCAGGCCGACGAGACACAGTCCAGCTCATTGAAACACTGTTTTTTATACAGTATTTCAATGCTCTGGGCATGGCATAACCTTGGATTTCCCAAAAAAAAAATGCACGGTAGGTCGCGGGGTCTGGTTTGACTTCGTGCGCAATTGCCTCCAAGTTAATTCGGACCACAACATTCATGGTTGGAGCGGTAACAGCGCAGACATCATCCACCTCATTTCTGGCAAGTTCTACGAGAGGGGTTTAAGGCGTGGATAAGAAGGTTGTAGGCTTGAAAATGAGCAGGCGTGGAAGATACATCGATGAAGAACGGTCCAGACAGTGTTCACACGCCCGGCTAGTCTTTGCACTTAACCATGACATTGATCTCCTTCAAAACCACCTCATCGTTTTCTCAGCGATATGAAGGGCTCAAGTCACCATTAGGCCGTAGGCTTATCGCTGATCAGCAACAGATATATCCAGCAAGTGTTGCGCAATGTTTAGATCATGGGGCTTCATGAAATGTACATCCGGGAGTCACTCCCGGAGAGTGTTAGGGAGATGGTAGGTCAGTCTTGAAAGTCAAGGTGTTCAACTGGATTTGAGTGCTCAGTTGGGGTGTAGAACGCCGCCTATTGTTCCTCGCTGTGCGGTTGAAATCCAGATACGTGAGACCTAGCCTTCAGCGCTCCCCGGTCGCGCCTGAAGCAACCCTACTGACACTGCCAATGGAGGTTTTCCTCGAAGTACGTAAGACAATGACGATCGTTGACATTGGCTCCCATATATAATTAGTGACGTTTCTCTTAGATATCCAGCGCTCTACTGCCTGGTGGTCTTCTATCGTTATCGAGGTCTTCCAACTTGCAAAAGCTTCGCGCAATCTCCATGTCGCGCAGCACACGCCCGATATGGGCCAATATATTTGCCAACGCCGCTACTCCCCTAGGCTTACCTGTGCGTTATCCTCTCGACATGAATGAACCGCAATATGCAAGTCTTATATTCGAATTCGACCATCCTTGTTCTGTGTGTGTTGGAAATTTTTGGTAATACCATTGTTTTCTCATTCCCCGACAGGCATGTAACAGCGTCCAAGCTCCCAAGGTGTATTACATCCTTCGCCTCCGGGTCTGTGCTCATTGCGAGAAGATAAAGTACGATTTTTAGTCCTTTACTCAGCCATCTACGATTAGCTCATCATGTCCCAGTGGAATGAGGTAGTAAAAACGATCTACCCGATTGGATGGAAGCATTTGGATAGCATTGGAGCCCACCACCATGGGGCTCTTGGTGTAGTAAGAAGCTTAATCTACGCCTTTTCTCCAAGCTTATCCTTCTCTCGAGGCTGTGGATGGTTCTCACAGGACCGGAATGAATATCGCGTAGCAGAACTCAACCTTGTCGTAGAGAAGTGTCTCGAGCTGCGGGATGACAAAGGCGCGCTCAAACAGTATTTCAACAATCACCAAGCTATGGCCGCCGCGATCGAGGAGGTGTGTATCGAAAGAAACACTGTTACTTCTCGGACTACTCACTTCGTGTATAGCATGGTCATCACCTCCAGGTGTGGTATGACGCTAAATTGCTCAAACGGCCCAGCCACCTCACCGAGCTGACTCAAGGATACTCGTCGTAAACCAGTTCTAACGTTCATTTTCAATAAGAAGAAGACCCTGAAGGCAAAGGCACAGGAGTAAGGAACCAGTATGTCGTCGAGGACCCGAAGCGCATTGGCAAAGAGGTTCGTCTTTCGTTATTGGCACTAGGCCATTGAGAGCAAGTGCTCATCCTGCATAGCATTGGATCACGCGGAAGAGGGGTCGGAAGCCTTCATTTTCAGACAGGGCGCAAAGCGCCAAAGCTTGCCTCGCAATGGCACCATATACTCCAAGCTGAATCAGGACGCGTCCTCACACATTCTTTTGTATAAAATTGACCTTGAACCACTGTCGCCAATGAAGGTCGGTTGCCTCCCAAAACGTCCAGATACGCGAAGCGCACATTCGTCGTCGACTTGACGGAGCACATAAGCATGCAGTCACTGTGACCACCTTTTTAGCAAACTTTTTCAAGCCAGTGTGCTCGGATTGCTTGCAGCTCCGAGTAGTCATCTTTGAACGCGAATTTCGACCTCTTTCGACTCAGCTACCCATGAATGTTGAGTTCTGTGACTACGACCGGTTCGGGGTCTTCAAATTTCCAGCTCTCTGACATCCCTAGTCCACTCACCGCCCACCACATATTACCGACTTAGCCTCGATACATCTAAAAAGAAGAACGACTTTTTCCGTTGTACTCAGCATGGAAACTTGAGAAAGTGACAACTCAGGAGTTGGAGAATTTCAAAGACAATTATATAAGTGCGCGTACAAATGGCTGAGCCCAGCGGAATCGCAGGTACACCGTTTGAGATGTAGCGTTTGGGCTCTCAGGAAGTTCTGTTTCATATCTCTGAGACCAGTTTTCCTGACGTTGCACTTTAGGCGTTCTTTTTTGGCATCATCAACCTTACTTGAGAATAAATCCTCTTTTTCTTCAGTAACGCATAGGCGCAAGGCAAGGCCAGAGTAATGTACCCGTTATGGTGCGGATCACCTACTACACCGCTCCATTTGTATAAGTGTGTGTGTTGCCTCGAAAAAATTCAGATCTCTTATTCCTTTGGCAGAAACGTTCCTTTAGATGAGCTTGTCATTCCTGTGAGAAGTTTTTTTTTTATCTTCAAAATTGAGGGAGTTGAATTTTTTTACCAACCAAATTGGCGGAGTCTATGCACCGATTTACTGATCAAATCTACTGGCTACGGCGTCAGGGGTACGTCTGTGAAGCTTATACTTTGTTGAGCTGAAGTTTTGGACACGAATTTGTGCATCCCGCGTCGCTGGTAGGCCGTCA